CAAAGTTAGACATTTAACTGTCTTTTGAACTTGTTTAGATTTTAATTGTTATTACATATAAATGACATGAGTTTGAACAGATGCTAAACAAAAACAGCTGGGTATTAAAATCACTGAGAGCAGTTTTCTGAAATTCTTTTCATATTTTCAATGCACATTTTGCTTGGATTTTTAACATAGTATACTGATATTACACAAGGCAAGTTCATTTGTTAAAAAAAAAAAGTGACAATGGACATCTTGCATTATTAAGTTTTTCTGTCCTCAGAGAATTTTTGGTAATCTGCCAAAATTTGGAGGGCCTTTAAAGTTCTAATTGATGCTTCTATCTGCCCTAAATGTGAATGAATGTTTGCTGTATTTTTACCATATGATATTTTGGGACATATTCTTATACATTTTACTAAAGGTTTTAAGTTGACCTGAAGAGTTTTAATGACTATTCTAAAGAGAAACGCAATTAAAAATGGATTTACATATGTTTCTATTTCTCTTTCACCTCCTGCTAAGAGTATGGACTATAACAGCTTATTTTTGGAAGAAAAATCTACCCAGAAATAAAATAATGATTATTGTATAGCACTCAGACGTTTCAGAAACACACTTCCACAGGTAATATTACTTGTGCTTCTAACAGCACCTCTAGGGAACAGATATTATTGACATCATTCTATAGCCTGAGAAACTGAGGCCTACAGGGGTTAACTGACTTATGCAAAGCCATGTAGCTATTATGTAGAGCAAACGCATTGGAACAGGCCTTCTGATTCCAATCCTCAGACTCCTTGAGGATGGGTAGAAACTGAGGCTTCATTTCTTGTCATCTTGATTGGTTTTGGTTTCTAGGATTTTGTTCTTTTCCTACCTTCATCTCCTCAATTCATGTAAGTGCTGAATTAATTGAGGTAGATTTTAGGGGCCACTGGTTCCCATCCAGAGGCAGAGATGCAGTATCAAACAAGCCAATTCTATCCCAGTCCAAATGCATTCCGGCAGAAGTTCTGAGTTTGGAGAGTATCTGGGAAACCTGGCCCATTCTAAGATTTTGAGCCCCTTGTGACAAATCCTAAAATAGAATTCACAGGGAGCTCTAACTTGCCTTGTGATTGATTTAGGGATCCTCAGAATGAAAACCCTCAACTGTCCCCCTACCTTTCACAGGAGTCTTAAATACAGGGCCTATAAACAGTCAACTTCTCAGTAGGCTTGTCCCTGCCCATTCCTGCTCAGATGACTCAGGAATACACCAGTTTCACACAAACTGTCTCCTATTTTATAGTACCAGTATGACCATGCTGGTTCGTATTACCCTGACTCCAAACCTCGAAAACATTGGGTTCTACTCAGAATGGCAGAGGCAGAAGTTATCTCTTGATCTCCTTAGCATGGTGGGGAATGATGCAGCCATCCGTAGCTGTGTGTGTTCTGTGCATTCCCAGGCCCTGCTGCCCAGAAAATGACAGCCCCATCTTGCTAAGAGAGAGGGGAGGTTGAGCCACCTCCCGCTGAACTGTGGCTGTTTACTTTGCATATGTCACAACCTTTTTTTGGTACTGCAGTCCAGCGCTGACTATGAAGAAGAGAATATTCAAAGAGCAATCCTTTTCCCCTCCACACCCAGAGGACTTTGGGCCTATTTGGGAAGGGAGAATAGAGCTAACTGTGAATCGTCCCTTAAACCTGACAGACAGGATTAGGATATTTGCAGTGGAAAGACCAGCACTGATTGTTCTAAACCACTGCCCTGTTTGAATTTAGATTTGGCATTATTCTTCTTTTACTACAAGCTGTTAGAGAACAACTCCTTCCCTATAGAAATAATAATACTATGCCCAAAATCATACCATTATCTCTTTCATGGAAACTTACCAAAGACAGATCCTACTAGTTTTTAGATCCTATTAGCATGAAAATTGGATTAATATGTTTTCAGATCGCTTTATTTATCCTTGATATGGTAAGTATTACTTGTGTTTCATATGCTGGTGCTCTGTAGTCATAGTGTCAAAATTGTGTATTTGGTAGATAATTTTCAATAATTATACAATTACAAATGATCTGTTCAACTACCAGATGTATTTGGTAACAGCAAAATCCCTAACAAAAAGATCCTTTAAAATTATTTCTATTTTTCTAAAACACCAACTGATTTTAATTTTTTGAAATCAATTTAACAATATGCAGTTAAACAATATCTAGTTTTATAATGGCTTTTTTAACATAAATTTTCCATTTCAACTAAATTAAAATATATATCAAATATCTTAATAATATAAATTTTGGAGGAGTAGCAAAACACTTATTTATAACACAGTCTGAAAGTATTAACAAACAATTCTGAGGCATATTGAACCAAAACTGAAATAATTAAATTGATATTCAGACAGAAATGACCAAGGTTTCATGTTAAGTGAGTCACTTTTTATTACGTAAATACGTCCTTTTATTTTTTTTTAAAGATTTTATTTATTTATTTATTTATTTGAGAGAGAGAAACAGCATGAGAGGGGAGAGGGTCAGAGGGAGAAGCAGGCTCCCCGCTGAGCCGGGAGCCCGATGTGGGACTCGATCCCAGGATTCCGGGATCATGACCTGAGCTGCAGGCAGTCGCTTAACCAACTGAGCCACCCAGGCACCCTAAATATGTCCTTTTAAATTGTAATTAAATTGTTCTGTTTTCACACATATAGATATTTCACGTATGTCTTTTCCTTAGACGATGACTAAATGTGTCATCTGCACTAATACCAGCATTCTTACATTAATCCCAGGTACACATAGGCCACAGTTGATCAGGATTCCAGAATGTGAAGATAATTGTGAAAAACGTTACTTAGAGTTTGGTGGATTTATTAGGAAAGTAATCTCTGTTATTTTAGTTAGCATTTGTAGTCTTTACAGGATAGTAGTGGACCCTTGGGTTTGTCAGCTTTTGACAGTTTCTACTTACTGTTAAGTAAACTGAACCCTAGTTTTGATCAGTTTGTGTGGGGTGAGGATCACATGTAATGAGCTCAGTTTAGCATCTGTAAATAACCTGTATTCACTGTGGTGTGAAGAGGATTCTCACGCAGGTGATGCATGCTACGTGCTACAAGAGTATCTAAGATGATGACAGGCTCTGTGGGTGTGGCTTATGTGTTAGCGCTGTGAAATGACTCTCCCAAGATCATTTGCTCTGACTCTTGAACTTCTGGAAGCTTCTAGAAGCTTTATTTGCTCTTTCAAAATGGTACTCTGATTCCTCCTTCAACTGATTTTATCCGCCATAACCAGTTTAATTGTCAAAAAACATTTCTTTGATACATCATTCCCTTATTTTAGGACACCACTGCCAACAGGATATTGTAGAGATCTCTAAGACTACTAAAGATTTTTTTACTGTCAGGCTCCAGTCAAATTCTCAAAATCATGCCTACTGATCACCGTTGTCGTTCATTCATATTCGTCATTCAACTTGGATTTTTATCCATCCTTTAAAGCAGGTTAAAGACCTGTTCATCTGTGAAACCTGTGCATTTAGAGCAGCCCTGGACAGTGATTCTTACCTTTTCTCACTCATTAGCACTTACCATCTGCTGTCTAGCATTGAGACCTATCTTTGCTATCTCTCAATGAGACTGGCATTTTTTGAGAGCAAAGATTATGTATTATTATACTTCATTATACACCCCTCTCCCCCATACCTTCCTAAATGCCTTCTACATAGTAAGTTCTCTATAAAAGAAAACTTGATTACTTGAAAAGGCATAGCCATATCATTCATTCATTCATTATTGAATTATTCAACAAATTTTTTTTTAATTTCTACTATAAGCCACGCATTGTGTATAGAGCAAGGAACAACATGGACATGATCCCAGCTCTACAGAACTTACAGTTGCTGGGCCTGATATTTTCTGTCCAATTATTTTTCTTCATTTCTATTTCATTTTAAGAGGATGTAAGACTTAACAGGATGTTTGATCTTTTTTTTATTAGTATTTCTGTATATATGACTTACTACCAAAATTTAGTTAATAAAAACTTGTATTTTTACAAAGTAAATATTCAGTTTACTCAGCTCCAGAGTTTGATCTTACCTTTGACTATTCCCTTGAAGTTGAAAAAAAATAGGTTAAAAAAAAAGTATCACAAGAAACTCTTTTTCTTTATTCTTTGTGTTTTGGGAGAATAGCAAAGATTGTGATTTCCCAGCTCTTCACTGGGGGCGTCATGCACTACTTTGGTCTCACCAGAAACTTTTATTCAAAAGGTAGCTGAGAATATACGATCACATCAGGGATTAATTTGACCTTTTCTATATTCCATGTTTTGATTAGCTGGCTATTCGACTCATATCCCATTTATAGACAAATTGTGAAAGGCTTGAATGGCAAGCCAGAAATATATAGAATATTGTAAAGGTCAGTGTGATTTAGCCCATAAGCACAGCATTGAAAATATATGACAAGTCATTATCACACTTAATTCCCATGACAAAGACTGGGTGAAGATGGGAAATTATTCCAATTAAAATATTCTTGTTTCGGGCGCCTGGGTGGCTCAGTTGGTTAAGCGACTGCCTTCAGCTCAGGTCATGATCCCAGGGTCCTGGGATCGAGTCCCGCATCGGGCTCCCTGCTCTGCAGGGAGCCTGCTTCTCCCTCTCCCACTCCCCCTGCTTGTGTTTCCTCTCTCGCTGTGTCTCTCTCTGTCAGATAAATAAATAAAATCTTTAAAAATAAAAAAAATATTCTTGTTTCATAACGAAGGCTGAAGTGGCAAAGCTCAAATGGCCTCTTGACTCCTTTTTTTGGTGATAACTTAATAAGTTAGAAAGGAATTGTAATTGAATTAAACAAGACAAAAAAAGAAGTAACAAGCTCTTCTGATTTGAGAATCCATCATAGAGGGAATAATATAATGACTTTTCTAAACACTCTAATTATACATGAGTAAGACAGATACAGCTACAAAACCAATTCAACAGCCACCCCATGCTCTCTTTTTATCTACAGCATAGCTGTCAGTCAGATGGGAACTCCATTTATTTCCATGGGAATGAAGGCAGTGAGTTCAATTTTGCCACCACCCGGGATGTAGACCTTTCTACAGAGGATATTCAAGAGCAGTGGTCAGAAGACTTTGAAAGCCAGCCTACAGGGTAAGTAATTGCTGTCCCATGCTGTGTATAGCACTTATATTTTTTCCACTGGATGTATTTTAAATGCATACTATTAAATAGCAAAAGCATAGTTAAATCAATATTGATTATTCTACTTTTAAAAGATTTATTTATTTATTTATTTATTTGAAAGAAAGAGAGAGAGAGCAGGAGGAGGGACAGAGGGAGAGAGAGAGAATCTCAAGCAGACTCCAAGCTAAGTGCAAAACCCAGTACGAGGCTCCATCTCGTGACCGTGAGATCTCAACCTGAGCCGAAATCAAGAGTCGGATGCTTAACTGACTAAGCCACCCAGGTGCCCCAAAGCCAATTGTTCCTTATAGACAGGACAAATGGTTAGACTTGTCCTAAACATTCTTTATTAAATAATCAACTATTTTATGTGTATTAAAAATTTATAATTGCAAATACCTTTTAACTGCAGTTGAAGCACTTATATTTCATCTTCGTTTATTCACCTTTACTGGGAAAAAGTTTTTTTTAATGTGTATGGAAGACAAAATCTTTCCACTACTATTATATGGAGACTTTAAGTCATCTTCCTGGGGCCTGAGATTTATAGACAGAAATCTGCCCAGCAGCCTGAGCTGCCACTGCTCCTGTGACCCTTTGCTGCTACATCAGGGTCCTTCACTGTTGAAAGCTAGATTTATGCTGTGGCTGACCCAGCCCTGCATCAGGAGGTCCAGCCTGTGGGGTAGGCCAGGTATGCCTCTGACGGAGGCTGACACTTTGAGGGACCTCATTCCTTCAGAGCCTAGCAGTGATGTCAAGGCCTTCAGTCCATAAAGTTCTTCTCCTTGGAAGTTCCTGACCCCCTTGCAGTTCCATGTCCAGTGTGGCTCGGGTGTCTCCTTGAGGGACCAGCCACTACTGCTCCTCTATTCTATCTCCAGGATTTCCCCAAGAGTCAGGCTGCTTGCCTTCATAACCCTTACACTACACAGGCTCATTCCACTCCCCTTACAAACCAGTGGGATTTGATGGGGTCCAGAATTTTGACAACGCAAGCAAGGCTTCTTTACCTACCTTTCGGAGATAAGGAACCATCACCAGTGGATCAGTTCTCCCTTTCTGATTCCTGATACAGAAGACCAATTCAAACCCCTTCCCTGGTTATGGAGCTTGACTGACTATGAGAGAGTCCCAAATCTTGAAGCACAAGAGATTCATTGACCTCCACTCCTTCATCTCTCCAAGCTAATACCATCCATGTGGAAGTGATGAGCCATCCTCTTCAGGGAGACCCACATCCCCTGGGGACACATGATTCTCAGCGATACCCAGCCCCCATCCCACTAAAGCAGAGAGAGAAACACAAATTTAATCTCCAGTAAGACAACTCTCATACCCATGTAAATCCCTGTCTATCTATCTATCTCTTTCCTCAAAGTCTTCAGTGTTACTAGTCTTATTCTTTTGGGGAGAGAGAAAATTTATTTTTAATTATGGCTTTCATACCTACCTATTCCCTGTCTGACAATGCTTTATTTTCCTTTTTTTTCAGCTTGTTGTATTATCAAAGCTTGTCTATAAAAGAACAAAAGATTTTTAGGATGGATTAATGGTCCATCCAGCAATCTGCTAGTAACATCAGTGAAGGTTTAGTATAAACAAACAGAAAACCATGAGTTAAGCTTAGAAAGGAATTGATTTTATATTAGAAGAAACCCAACATATCTTAGAAAATCAGTGTACTAGTCCAGAGACATAGCTTGCAAAAAATTATTTCATTTAACAGAGTAGACATCCCACTTTCACAGAGCACTAATGATATGAGAGAATTTGTGACTAAACTAAATCATTCATCCCCCAAAACAAAGAGGGAACTAAAAGTATTTATTCTTGAGAAAAGAACTAAAGTTAGGACACACACAGAGGAACATCACAAATTCCATCCACTCAGTGACTCAGGTGGTTTCAGTTATGCTCTTTGGCCACTTCTCAGTCCTGAGGATTGTATCAGGGTTTTGGTCACAGTTAAGAAGCTAATACTTTCAGGCCATGGCATTGTCAGCAGATCTCTGTTCCAATAACATAGAATAATGCGCTTGACAAAAGCACCAGTGCCACTCTAATTGCTGTACAATTAATTCCTCTAAGTTCTAAAAGCAGTAAATTATTCTAGCAACTACATCTTAGGTTTATTTGTAGCTTTTCCCCTAAGATGTCAGGTGACACCTCCCAGATTTACCTCATTTATGCTCTCAGCTGGTTGCCCAGTTATCCAACTTGGTGTTATATCATAAAGGTGTAAAAGGATAATGAGAGGATCTAGTGTTTTCTGTTTGCAGTGATGATAAAAATGCTGGTTTAGTCCATGAGTGTGTGTGTGTGTGTGTGTGTGTGTGCCCTCTCTGCATCCCATTCACCCACTCCTAAATGTTGCTTTATTGGTCCACGAAAGAGTGTTGTCATAATCATTTTTAATCATAGCTTCGGAGGAAAAAAAGCCCATCACAAAATCAAATTAATGTGAAATATTTTTACCTAGGGAAAGAGCTGACAAAGAAAAACAGATTAGGAATTTGGTAGTGAAATTCTTTTTTTTGTTTTTTTTTTAATTTAATTTAATTTTATTATGTTATGTTAGTCACCATGCAATACATTATTAGTTTTTGATGTAGTGATCCACAATTCATTGTTTTCATATAACACCCAGTGCTCCATGCAGTGAGTGCCCTCCTTAATACCCATCACCGGGCTAATTCTTGATGTGTTTTGTTTTACCAGCCAGATTTACTAAATATTTGTCTCATTCTTCAACTCAATCATCATTACCCACACTGATAATTTATCATTATTGGCTCACCTGCTGAAATAGAAAATGTAGATAATAAATCCCCACTGTGCTCAAGAGCAACCAATTGAATTGATTGAGCTCTGTAGTTTTGAGGTCACTTTTTTAAAAATAAAAAAAATTTAAATAAAGTAATTAAATTGTTAACCTGTATATAATATTTTCACTTCTCTTAACTATGTTTTTCTCCCATAAGAATTATGAAAGAGAAAAATGAATATGCAATCCTCTCTAATAATTTCAAAACACTTCATATGAATGTTAAGAAAGAAAAGAAAGTCACTATTTTTTGAATCTAGCTTCCCAAATATTCCTGTTTTCCTACCATTTGAGTCAAACTGTTTGATCTCATATCACAAGGATGCAAGAGCTGTTTGCCACTCATATCACAAAGTTGTCCTAAATCCAGTGTTGATAGGTTTATTTTTTAAGTGGGATAGTAAAGGTTTTTTCTCTTTTTCCTGAAGAAAACACATCTGTTACTTCAGCAAGAGAGAAACTTTAATGGATACACTGATAATTTATGTGAATCTTTCTAAACTTTGGCTTAACCTTACAAACACATCATTTAATTAACAACCACCATATCTCACCTAGCTGAGACTGCCTTTAGGTGGGAGAGAGCTTTGTAGAAAAACACACTGCTATCATATAGATTTTGTATACTTCTCTTCCATCCCAAATGCAAACATTGTATATTTTTACTATTCAAATACCTTTACTGCTGTCACTATTCATGTTAAAGAGGAACTCCACAAATGTAATGAATGTTAAAATATTGAATCAAGGCATCATGCTTCAGTCTTCTCCACTTGCCCCAAATCCTTGGAAATTACAGAAAATGAGCAAACATATCTATAATGACACTATAAAACAAACAAAAAAATGTGCCTTAGTTGGGTCAGGAATTATAAAGGACTGTACACAAAAAGAGAAGAGGAGAAGATCTGATGGAAGGAGGGAACTATAGCCCCAAACACATGTTGGATAAGACATTAAAAAGATGTCTCAGCACTGCTCCAGGACACAGATGCTGGTCACATGAATGAGGATGGGGCTCTGAGCTACTGCTATAGGGATTGCCAAGGAGGTGAGTCCCTCAGTACACCTACTTCCAAGTAGAGCCTTCTATTCCCAGGAACAAGCAATGAATGTGGATACTTGGAATAGAGAAGCAGGGCGATCCAGGTGACTGGAAACCTCAAGGGGGAACAGAGACCCCCCCTCATGGTAGTCCCACCTAAAGCCCCATCTGCCCCCATCAATAGCCATTTTTATACCAAAATAAAAAAATAATAACAGATACAAATTTAAGCAAATTATCTAGAATCAACAAATCTGAGGAAAATCAACTCCATTTAAAAATCAATCAAACTAAAGAACTAAGGTCTGAGAAAACAGAAGTAGTAGAATAAACAAATGGAGATTTTATAAGAAGCATAATTAATATCCTCAGAGGGTTAAGAGTGCATACTGCATTTGAGAAATTAAAACACATTTTATGAGGAAGCATAGAGATGTGAGAAATGATGACAATATATGATTGTTGAAACAAATTTAATGGATTTTTTTTTCTCCACTGAATATCAGCATAGGCATAGCTGAAGAACAAATTAATGAGCCAGAAATTTGAGTCTTGAAGTCTACCCAAAACTTAGGGTCACTGGATATAAGAAAAAAAGATGTAAAGTATAGGGGGGAAATTGGCTCTTGTTGTTAGAAAAATAGGAATTCCAGAAAGAGAGGTCAGAGAGAATATATGGAATGAAATATTCAAATATATTACTGAAGAAAAGTTCCCAAGATTGAAAAAAGAAGAAAGAAAAGACATAGTTCCTGTGAATGAAATGTTTAGCAAGATGAATGGGAACATATGCATTCCTAGAGCATCAAGAAGAAACTTTAGAACACTGATAAAAGAAGAAATCCTAAAAGCTTCTTGGTGAGATTCATAGTACTTTTCTTGGTAGCACTAAGCATAAGTTTAAAAAAAAATGAAGAAGTTACCTAGGTCTGAAAAAATTATTTGGAACATAAAATTCTTTTCCAATCAATTATCATACAAGTATTAGGAACAAACGAAAACCTTTTTATTTCTATACATATATATGAACTTCATGGTAACCATGTTTTTTGTACATAACCAAAAACCTACAATAGAAACACAAAAAATAAAGAG